AGAAACGAATTTTTTAGTAGTTTATTATATACACATACACCGTTATGAACCAATTTTTTTTTTCTTTTTTTTTTTTGTATCGAATAATTTTACCATACGATGAAAATCGTTTCTACATAACGTTTTTCTAAATAATTTATGAATAATTTGAAATGAAACATTTGGAAAACATATTAAAAAAAAAAATTTTTTTTTGCGTTTATCGACTATCTTTTGGGTAATTCGGTAGAGAAAAATATATATATTTATATATATAAAATTTGTTCCCCTCTGATAATATTTAGAGAAAAGAGAAGTGAAAAAAAGGTAAAGACAATCGTTTTTATTGATATGTACATACAATAAATTTATTTACAAATAATACAATAAATTTTTGAACGTCGGTACGTTATTCGCCCTTGATGATATATCTTAACAAAATACTACGCTCTTATCGATTATTGTGCCGTGCTGATATATCGAAAACTCTTTGGTCACGGAAATTGAATGTAAATGTAGGTAATTATCCGGTTTTTTTTACCCTGCGCAAATATTTATATCCGAACGAATGTTATCGGATCAGTTAATAACAGAGGCAGTGCGAATCATTCACGAAACCGCGCGAAAATTCCGGGTAAAAATTCTCTTAATCCCTTCTCCCTTTAATCTCTTCGATCCTCTATATATATACCCCCCTCCCTTATACAAATATTACGTTGGCTACTATTAAAATTATAAAACACATTGGCAGTGTCTCGGCGTACGACGAACTTCCATCTCCGTGATGCATGGCGGCCGGCCTTTCCTCTGCAACACACAATCGTTTCCCCTCCGTTATTTATTTATTTATTTATTTATTCATTTAATTTGTTCAATCTTATCTTCTATTCATTTTCGAACGAACGATTCTTCTCCGCGTGATTTCAAAATTCGCGCCTCGCCTGCTCGTCGCTGTAACGGCGACAAACAACAAGAGGGCCGGCCCTTCGATCGATTCGTGAGGGAACGATCAAGAGAAAGAACAAGGGAGCAGACGTTTCGCTGATGACGGTGATAAATCACCGGTCGTTGCACACCGACCGACGTGTCGCATCGATCCGCATTCGCGTCAGGTAAGGGGGGTGTATCGCGACCCATTGTACCGAGCAATTAACGCTTGAAGTTGATAAATAACCAGCCGGAAACTCGGGCTTAACTTATTTCGAATTATCCACCGTCTCCATCGTTCTCGCCGCCCGGGAACAGGTTGATAAGGTACGACGAGGTTGATAATTTACCGGATAAAATTATGTTTATCGATCTTATTCTCTCCATCGATATTTTTTTTCTAAAATTTCTAATTTCGTTTCGAAGGAGGAAGGAAAAAAAAATAAAAAATAAAAATAAATAAATAAAAGTAAATTTGGAAGGAGGCAGAAATCCTGGAAAATTTTCGAGAGAGAGAGAGAGAGAGAGAGAGAGAGTGAAACTGGACTACGATGAAACGTGAAACCGCGCAGCGCGTTTAAGCTCGTTCCTTCTCCTCGAATAGCCTTGCTATTCGAGTTGGCAACAGTGTCAACTTCGCGCCTCCGTATCCACTCGTCGAGACTCCACTGTCGACGTAACGCCTCTTTACGAATTTTTAAATTCTAACCGTCTCCAGTCCCCCCTCCTCTCCCACTCTCTTTGCTCGATCGATTCGAACAAAACGTCGACTCTAGAGCGTATCTCTCTTTCGTCTCTTTCGTCTTCGGAACGAGAGGCGAGTTTTCGAGGAGAAAAAAACGAATTTCGATCAACTGGGGAAAGGTCGAAAAATCGGGCGATTTTCAGCAGAGTGGGATTCGCAATGCGCGTAACGCGAATATTTTCCACTCCGTACCGGTCGACGAACACGAGTGTAGATTGCATCGCGTGGATTTCGGTCTATTTTATGACGGTTGTAATGGGAATTTTTTACATCGTGGCGGGTGACGTGAACGTACGCGTCATAGAGGAATTCTTGTTCTACGGCGATATACAATATGATCGGATCGTGAGAATTTCCTATTCTATGCTAGTTGAGGATCGTATCGCGAGGATTTTTCTACTTTATGACGGTCATGGGGATTTCTTATTCCGTGACGGGTGACGTGGACGTACGCGTCATGGGGGATTTTTCGATTCCGATGGCGATACATGATCGGATCATTCGGGGATTTTCTATCCTGTGCTAGTGGACGCACACGAAGATTTTTCTATTTTATGACGGTCATGGTGGATCTTTTATTCTGTGACGGTTGACGTGAACGGTTACGCGTCTCAGGGATTTCCTATTCTACGATCATTTTCCTATATTTATAACATAGCAGGTGACGTATGTATCGCTAAATTTTCTCTTCTATGATAATCGACGCATACGATCGCATCGTGGAAAGATTTTTTTTTTTTCTATTCGACGAGAATGTACGTGAATGTCATAGGGAGATTTCATATTCTATCGGCGTGAACGTACGCGTAATGGGGGAATTCCTGTTCTACGGCTAACGACGTGGACGCACGCGTCACGTAAATTTTCAACTGCACGGCGATATACGATTTTCCCGTATATTATACACGTGACAGATGATGTATGTATCGCGAAATTTTCTCTTCTATGATAATACGATCGCATCGTAAAATCAAAAATTCTTTTTTTATTTCCATACGCGTCAAAGGATCGTACAATGATCGTCCCATGCATTTTTTCCTCAAGAAAGATGAGAAAGAAAAAGTTTTTTTTTTATATTCGATTTTTTTCTCGAGCACGAAAATAATACAGTATTGTCATTAATATGCACAATCACTTTTGGATTCCGTTACATCTCTCGTTGCATTCTCCAACTATCTTTCGTACTTGAAAATCAATATCCGTAGGCGGGAGAATTCGCGGTTCGAGATTCTCGGTTTTTAAATCGCGTTTGAACCGCGTTTAAACATTCTCCCCTCTTCTCCCTTCCCCCCTTCCGCACCATATATATTTTCTCTATCCTTTCTTTCTTTTTCTCTTCTTTTTTCATTTTTCTGATCGTAGAAGAATTCAACGCGTTCTCATCACGAGAGATTAAACTCTTGGATTGGATGCGTTGAAAAGAATTAGAAAATTTCGTTTCGCACGTTCAACTCACCGTCAACAACGTGCACCTTAATTCTGTTCGGATTCGCGTTGCTCGGCTCGCAGGTATATATCCCAGAGTCGGTGATCACCGCTTTCTGGATCATTAAACGACTCGTCGTTTCTGGCCCTTTCTCCGTCACCAGGCTGATACCTCCCCGCGGCGAATCGAAGTTAATTACCTGCAACGAGAGATAAAAACATCTTTATTTTTCTCATCCCATTTCCTCTCTCGTCGATTCTCTTTCAATCCTTCGTGGATATATATATATATTATATATATATATATAATATATATAATATAATAATATAATAATAACACACACACACACGTACATATACACATTTTTTCTTTATTTTTTTTATAGAAAATAGGAATCGAAATCGATGAAACTAAATTTTTAAAAAATAAAGAGGTTACGTTAACAACTTTTCTCTAAAGCAGTCTGATAAATTCTTCGATTCACTTCGTGAAAATCAAACGGTCAGAGGAAAGAAGAAGGCTCTCCGTTCCCCCTTCCCCGGATTAAGTGCGGATTACTTCTTCGGAAGGGAAGGGAGAAAAAATTGCACTTGTACAGGATTTCAAGGGAAGGGAGAAGACGCTTGTAAACCGTGGAATATATATATAAAGATATATATTCGTCGCGTTTCGTTGCATTCGTTGAATGGAAGCGCAGGAGATATACGGTTTTTTTCCCCTTTTTATTCGATTTAACGTTGAAAAAAACGTTATTTAACGCGGGCATACGTTTGTACAGAGAGGAAAGAGGAGTACAACCGAATCGTATTTATCCTTCAATCAGTAGATTTAATAGAATCCACAATAACAGGATGGATCCGTTTGAAGGAGAAGAAATATGTTTGTTTTTTTTTTTTTTTTTTTTACACAAATATAATACACGTTGACCTACTTTTTCCCTCCTCTCTCTCTCTCTCTCTCTCTCTCTCTCTCTATTTCGCGATTTATTTACCTCGGGATTTATTTCTTTACTCGACCAGGGGAACGGCAATGTTTCGTGATATAATTTGAACAGCTTCATTTTTTTTTTTTTTGAGCCGTGCTTTACAAACCACCGTGAAACTGTAAACTGTTGTTGTAGTTGTTGTTGTTGTTGTTGTTGTTGTGACGTTAATGCGTCTCTTTCGTTGAAATTAATCCTTTGAACGAACGCCGCCGTCGCGACATCAACGTAAATTAAGTTAAATTTAAAGTTAATAATAACAATATTATTTCTCTTTATTCCTAATATCCATTGTTTTTATATAGTGTAATGAAAAATGTTTTTAAACTTCTTTGTCGAATGCAACGTAGACCCTTTTCTTAAATAAATAATCCAAAGCACGGCAAATTGTTGATCAAGAAATTGCTTCGTTGCGTTTATATACACACTCGAACTAAACGATACACACACAAATACACGACGAATATTCCTTT